GGGACATATCGTATGGAGCCTTGATCAATTTTGATGAAAAATTTCACTGTGTTTAAACTTTTTTGTATGGTCCGTAGACCACAGCTACTCCTGCGGCTGGGTATAAAAGAAAGAAGTATCAGAATGGGAATGATAGTGAGAGGGAAATAGAAAATTTGTGAATTCCTCCCTGAGAGGATCAAGAGGCTCCCCCACATGGGTGGAAATGGGGATGCTTTGGAAAACTTCTTTTCACCCGCAATCGAGGGGACAACTGACATGAAAACGCGAGAATACTCGTCCGGGGAATTTGAAAGTTCACCGAAACCTTACCATAAAAGGACGTGTTGAAGGTTCGGTGACTAGCTGGCAGGTTAAAAATTAGTGAAAATTATGTCATAGCCCTGTCCTTTTACAAATCGCCACCAATAGTGTGAATTTCACAGTAGTTATTAGCTACTTCTAGATTCCAAATAAGATTCCATGTCGTAGAAATCTAGTTCGTGTGATCCTTCGGGAATAATTTTGCCCATGTCCATCATTATGTCTCTGAGCTTTTTTCTTTAGAATTACAACTTCCTTTCCAGGACATTCCTGATGGAGATGTACTCATTCACGCAGGTGACATGACAAATTACGGGTCTGAAAAAGATTTGAAGAAGTTCAACGAACAAATAGGTAGGTGACTGTTTTTGTTGAGAACAAGTCTGGGAGAAGAGATCACTACCAAGTGTATCTCTGGAGTAAATATTATCGGTAGTAGGTAAATTACAGTAATGGTTTACATTAAGGTAAACTACCTCATAAGCACAAGATCGTTGTTGCTGGCAATCATGACTTGGGATTCGATGACACGGAAGATCTCAAAGAACGCCTTCCACAATACCAGGGTCACGGAACTCCGAAGGGCTATAATTTATTGACAAATGCCACCTGGTTGCACGATAAAGGAGTTGAGGTGAGTATGAACTGCCTAAGGCTTTACTCCATGCTCAGGGAGTACAGTAGACTTTGCGTAAAGGATTTGCCACAAATTTCCCATTAGCCCAGATTCCAGCTTAGAAACGTTGGAAGGGAGAAGGAGAGGGGGTGGGGTGAACATTTAGAAAATGATGGTTGACATCATCCTATCTGGACGGGATCGGAGACGGAATTAGGAAGTGAACCCACTCCGCGTCGTCTACGGGATCCCATCTATTATATGTAGATGTACCAGTGAGGGAGGGCTAACATTTTCTTTTCCAACATTTGTTCCTTTCAAAAATGCTATTTCTACGATATCTATCGAAATGATTGGGATTTAGATCGATGGCGTAACATTTTTCGGCTCATCATGGCATCCGCTCTATGGATATCCATTCTATCGCCCTCGTCCACAACTTAAAGAGAAATGGACAAAGCTACCATCCAACCTTGACGTTCTCATTACCCATACACCCGCTTTAGGTGAGTCAACTCAATCTGCCAAAACAATTTGCAACCGTTCAGTCTCGGTATCCTTTAGTAGAGGCAATAATTTTTTGTACTAAGCTGGGTCCATATAGCTCCTTGAAAGAGTCTGACTCGATTGATCAAGCCTAAATTCATAGGTGGGCGGAGCTGTTCCTAATGGGCGGGGCAGTCTTGAATAACGCGGGAGTAGGCGCACGAGTGCAGTGAACGGAACGGTGAAGATCTTTCGAGATCTTCACTCACATGTACACTGTAAAAAAGGAGGGAGAGGGAGAGAAGAGGTGGCAGGATTTTCCGTACGAATTCTGTATAATCGGTCTCTGCCGTTGTGAAATACGTTTTGTTTCCAGGATATCTAGACATTTTCACTGACACGGCGCCTGAACGATGGGGATGTCGTTACCTCCTCGAGGAGATCGAGACGAGGGTGAAACCCAAGTAGGTTTATATTTGAATCAGTTTCAGTAATCACAGAGATTTATTGTTTCAAAATGCTTTATCCTTTTATTGAACAAATCTGAAATTGTAATCAGTGGAGATGTAGTCGGAGTAGACCATTCGTAACGCTCTGAGTCTTCAACACTAATTGCCAGGGAGGATAAAATGAAGTTTTGAGGGCCTTTAGTGGTGCATAGAAATGATTCTGAGGAAAGAGTCAGTAGAACACTAACTCTTCGAGGGAGCGCAGACAAGGGGTGGGGGACAACGACGAACGTCCGTTGCGCGCGTCCATCGAAAGTAGGTCACCCCGCCCACTTCGCGCGCGGCGCACCCCTTTGAGGTCTCGACATGGCATTACAGTACCACCAAGTGTGAGTGGAACGAATGATTTGCATTTGTCTGTGTTATCTACTTATTGGCTCGCTGCCGTGGACCAAGCGCAAACCGTATGTCCCACTGACAACTGCGACGTCTGTCAAGTATCATGCGCCCCGCCGCATGCGACGGGTGCGGCGTGACCTAGTTTCGACGGACACGCGCAACGAAGCGCACCCGGGAGACAACATGGACTTCGTTACTTGGTTCCACCTAAGCCTGGAAGTGCAAAGTGCTATGAATGAGCAAAATCTAAGGCGCGTTAGATATGTGAAATCGGGCGGAACACTGCTTCCAATGGGCGGTATCTACTCTTAACTGGATGGTATGTTTTGAAAATATTCATAAAATTGTTCAGAAATGCCTTACGACCTGGAAAAATGGTTGGAGATTATTGGAGGGAGAGTGGAAAATTTTTGTGATGAGCTGGCCGTGCATGGAGGTGGATGGAGCCAAGTCAAAAACCTCTGATTCTGTTAGAAAACGTTCTAGATCCCTTCCCTTCGCCTGCACCAAAAATAAAAATCGGAGGCTACTGAAGGGAGAACGGTCTAATTTTCATTATGGGCGGGGCGTGCGCAGAGGTGGGCGGGTCCAAGATCGAAAATCTACGACTCTGTTCAAGTAGTTTTTTTCCAATTATCCCTCTTGATTACCGTGATTTTAAAATCTAATTTGTGAATTTCAAAAACTAATTCGTATTACTGCTTATAATGAATATACTTGAGAAGTAAAATTAAAATTAATAATAATATAAATATCTCTAAATAAACATAGGTGCCGCATGAAAAAAGAAATAAAATTAAAGTTAATAATAGTATTAATATCTCTAAATAAGCATAAGTGCCGCATAAAAATCACTATATCACTAAATTTATTATATATTTGTTTTAATTTCATCATAATTTACAACCCAAACTCGTAGTTCTACTGAAAAAATCTTTCTTTAGGTTCCATGTGTTCGGTCATGTTCATCAAGGCTTTGGAGCATTATCAAATGGGAATACGGTAAGTTGGTACAATGCACGATACCGTAACCTATCCTTTACCCCACTCGCCATTAGCGTCTTCATCGGGTCAAGTAGACTAGCCCTCGGTGCAGTAAGCCTACGCTATTGTTGACACCTTTGTCCTCACTACTCATCACCGTCGACTTTTTTTTTCTAGATTTTCCAGCCAAGAACCCTGAATTAAGGGACAAAAGTTCGTATAAATACTGAAGATTTCGAGCCTATTCTTCTCGGTGAAGGCATCTTTGCTTCAGCCCTGATGCAAAACCCTTCTTGGCCCTGAATTCAGCCCTGATGCAAAACCCTTCTTGGCCCTGAACTGCTGCTTAATGTGAACAACCTCGGCTTTCTGAGCACGAACTCCATCCACTTCAGACTGCGTCGATGTTCCTATGGGCGAGCTTTTGGTGGTCCTCACAATAAGTGTGGTACAGTTGTTTGGCTCGCCAACAACCTAGTCCGACCTCTATCATCCGCTTTAGATGAACGATACTTAGTTTCACCTCCCAGAGACCTTCACCAATAACTTATAATTTATTGATCGAAATTGATCGTCCTCATTGGTGGAGGTAACTAATCAGTCTGAGACCATAACTGACACCTTTCAATTACTACTTCGGGCGTTTTCTCACCCTGCCGAAGTGCCCGTTGGAGTTACTAGTTGGGCCTCGGAGCAACGATCTCCGCTAGGTTTTCTTTATTTTTTCCCACTGCTCGCGAGAAGTGTGGAAAACCCCAATTCTTATTTTTTCTTTATTTTTTGTTTACTTTTTCCCTCCTCAAAATGGATTTTTTTTTTGAAATTTCAGACGTTCGTCAATGCAGCACAGGCGGCAAAAAACAATGTGATCAGTAACAAACCTCTGGTATTCTACATCTCGAAAAAGTGAATTTTACGAGGTTTCCATCTATTTTTAGTTAGTGTTTTAGGTAGTCTATTTATTTTAATATAGCTCTCGTGTTGTGTTGGACGATGTTGTACTTACAAGTGTGTTTACAATAAAGATTCCCGAGGTGTTCCTTTTTTGCACTACTACTCTACTAGAATAACGATTGAGGAAGGATATCAATCGTTCTCCTTCTGAAGTCAAGCGGCTCTAAGCCGAAAGCACATTTTTTGAGATCAGCGGGCTCCGAACTCCTCTCAGTGATCAATCATGAATATATCAGTGATCCAGTTTGTCTAGGAGTGATGTCATCTTCGAAAATTCAGGCCATTAAGTAAATAATTCGATATTTTTGAGTACAAAAGCAATAGGATTTTTTTTTGTCGAAATCAAATTTCATCGTTCATCTCCCTAGTATCCGCCTTATTTGGAAAATCAACTTTTTCGCCGTTTGATATTCGTTTTTCATTTTTTCTTTGACACAATTCAATTTATTCATTCATCCTTCTCCACCGAATTTTCAGAAATATTAGCCAAATTTTTCCCGAGTAGTACAGAAATAGTGAACAAAGGCTAAAAAGACTATCACAAGCTGGTCAAACAAGTGCTTCTGCTGGTTAAATTGCATTATTTCATTTTGAATCGAACGGACTGGATTCAAAAAATGTTGTATTTTTAATAATAAAAATGAGGTGCATATCTGTGTTGAACACAGATATGCACCTCATTTTTATTATTAAAAATAC